TTTTTTTAAAATAAAATAAAAATAAAAATAAACACATTAAATGATATCTTAAAAAATTAATTAAACAACTAAATTTAAACATTCTAAATAAAAAATTAAATATATTAAAAATAAATAAAGAGTATATTATATTAAATTTAAAAAGTAAAATTAAATCAATTAACATGGCACAGAAATACTTAGCAGGTAAGGTAAGAGTGAATGCACATATATAAACTTACCTTATTGATGAAATAACATTTACGAATATATCTTTGTTTACCTACCCCTTAACTACCATTCTACCATGGGAAATGATTTTTGTATAATTTTTTTGTTTATTTTTTTGTATAATTAGACGTGTCATTTAAATTATTAGTTCTTTTAATTCACGTGAGACCCATGATATTAAATGTATTTACTTATTTAATTATTTATAAAAGTTATATAAAAAGATAATATAAAAAAATTATCCCTATAACATCACCTTTTTACAATCCTCTACAATATTACTTGAACTTTTATTAGAAAATTCATTACAGCTCAAAAGCATTGTCAATGAAATCCACATAAGGATTTAGACCTCTATTCAATACAATAATTAAGAAACTAAATCACTCTCATATTCCATCGCCTACTTTCAAAAAAAAAAAAAAATCACTCTCATGATGATGATAAAGAAAGAACAAAAAAATAAAAATCACGAACACATTTGCTGATTTGCATATCACACTGTTCTGTCTTCTTCAGCATTATTGGTAGTCATGTATGGTGATAACTACTCCAGAGAGAATCCACATTGCTTTCCCTGTTGCAGAGTTTCCAAGTGTATACCCCACAAAAAATGGCGTAAAGTAGAGATACCCATATTTATTAGCTTTGTAAATGCCATTGTCTGACATTCAATGACTCACTCTTAAAAAGCTTAGTCTTTTAGCAGCTCATAGGAAAGTCAACAATAACATCTTCCTTCCAGCACGTGTTTCATTTCAATTTTCCCAGTTTCCTACCTTCCGTGCGTATTTCACATGCCTCTGCAGAGTGCAGACTGCCCACCCCACTTGTATATTTCCCCCATTGTGCAGTAATTTACATGCATTTCTCTAGCTTTAAGAGATCAGATGTCCCTCTTCGTCTTGGGCTTGGTTTTATAATGTGAAAATGGTGGGTGTGAGGACTGAGAAGAGTGGCTCAATCCGGTCCGTTTTATCTCATGCAGATGGGCTAGATATCTGGTTGATGGTTTTGGGGTTTATTGGATCTGTAGGTGATGGATTGTCTATGCCCCTTCTCACATATGTGGGCGGTCAGCTGATGAACAATGCCGGCGGCGCAACATCGGCGGAGGAGGCTGGGATATTCGTCCAAAATATCAACAAGGTTTCTCTCTTTCTCACCCACCTGGCATCCACCCTCCGCGTGGAGGCTTACTGGGTTTGATTTAATCGTGTTTTATTTATTTTTTTATATTTTTATTTTTACAGGAAGCACTCAGTTTGGTTTATTTGGCCTGTGCAGTTTGGATTGCTTCTTTTCTTGGTGGGTTTTTTATGTTTAAGAGCTAATTCATGAAATTCATTGCTTATTTAGTGTAATTCATGAAATTCTTGAATATTTTCAGAGGGATATTGCTGGACAAGAACAGGGGAGAGGCAAGCCACAAGAATGCGTGCCAGCTATTTGAAAGCAGTCCTCAGACAAGACATAGCCTACTTTGATATGCAAGTCACCAGCACTGCAGAGATCATCACAAGCGTCTCCAATGACAGTCTCATAATCCAAAATGTTATAAGCGAAAAGGTTTAACTTTTTAAAAACATTCTTCTGTTGTTAATTGCAACTCCACTTAAATTTAAGGAACTTGCAAAGAAAAGGTTGCTTTTGGTTTCATGCTATAACTGCGTTGAATTTATACCTGCAGGTTCCAGATTTCTTTGCAAAGATTGTCATGTTCATCGGATGCTACATGGTAGCTATCCTGATGCAATGGAGATTGGCATTAATGGCATTTCCCTTTGTTCTTCTTCTTATTGTTCCTGGTTTAATGTGTGGAAGGACTTTGATGAGTTTGGCTAGGAAGATTAGAGCAGAGTACAGCAAAGCTGGGACAATAGCTGAGCAGGCAATATCTTCTATAAGAACTGTTTATGCTTTTGCTGGTGAAAACAGAACCATGGATAATTTCTCTGCAGCTCTACAAGGATCTGTGAAGCTGGGGTTGAGGCAGGGCTTGGCTAAAGGCTTGGCCATTGGCAGCAGTGGCATTATTTTTGCTCTGTGGTCTTTCATTGCTTATTATGGTAGCAGGATGGTAATGCACCATGGAGCTCAAGGTGGGACTGTCTATGCAGTTGGCGCCTGCGTTGCCATTGGTGGATTGTGAGTGTTTTAATCTCTCTTTTCCACACATTCTTCAATTAAAATAAATACTTGGATGGTTGTATTTGCCTTTAAAGATTGTTATTGTGATCCTCTTGTCCTTATGGAACAGATCACTTGGGGCTAGTTTGTCTAACCTGAAGCCTTTCTCTGAAGCATGTTCAGTGGGAGAACATGCGATGGAAGTCATAAAAAGTGTGCCCAAGATAGATTCAGGCAACATGGATGGCCAAATTCTGGACAAAGTTTCTGGAGAAGTCGAATTTAGGCACGTTGAATTTGCGTACCCCTCAAGGCAAGAAAGCATAATCTTGAAGGATTTTAGCCTCAAAATTCCAGCTGGAAAGACCGTGGCATTAGTGGGAGGCAGTGGTTCAGGGAAATCCACAGTGATAGCACTTCTGCAGAGGTTTTATGACCCACTTGGTGGGGAGGTTCTTCTAGATGGGGTTGCTATTAACAAATTGCAGCTGAAATGGCTAAGGTCGCAGATGGGTTTGGTTAGCCAAGAGCCCACACTCTTTGCCACAACCATTAAGGAGAACATACTTTTTGGGAAAGAAGATGCCAGCATGGAAGAAATTGTAGCGGCTGCAAAAGCTTCAAATGCCCATTATTTCATATCCCAATTGCCCCAGGGCTATGATACCCAGGTCAACTTTCTTCTTCTTTTCTCTTTAATTGCTTTTGTTTAATAGTGTTCAAGCGGGTTGCACGTGTAATTTTTAAATGAAAAATGCAGCTCCAAATGGATCATTAATTATGTTGTCTTCTGTGAAATATTTTAAAGATTTAATTGACTAAACTGTAGCTTGTTTAATTTAGAGAAATGTTTTTTTAAGTTTAAGGTGCATAATTGTATAATTAAAGTTAAAACTTTAATTTTATGAATCATTTAATTAAAATCATGCACGTGTATTAAAAATAAAATTAATTTTTATATTTTTTATGTATTAATAAAAAAATTACAATTATACAATATAAATATGTAATTTTAAAGCACATATTAAAAAAATTCTTTAAAAAAATATTAATTGAATAGTGGCATGTTTCATTTAATGAAAGTTAGTGCCATTTTTTTTTTTTTTTAGTTAGACGGTTTCTTAGGATTCAATTATTCAAACGTGTTCCATGATAAGCTTTGGCCCCTTTTTGTTTATTGGGTTAAAATTTGTGTTCAATCATGTTTCACATCTGGTAATTTTTAAACCACATTCACACATGAAGCTTTCATTGATAGTCAAGTCCAACTAAGAAATTGATCATTCTGACAACCACTGCCGCATTTTCATTGTTGGACGGTTCCCTAGGATTCAAACATGTTTGTAACTTGGAAGAAACCAGGTTTTGACCACTTTCTTATTTCACATGTAATCACGTGGAAGTTATTAATTTGTCAAAAAAACTATTTTATACACCGACTTGCAAAACAATAAATTTTTAGTTTATATAGTAAGAACAAATTTGGATTAAACTGGTGAAATATCAACAGGTTGGAGAGAGAGGCATACAAATGTCAGGAGGGCAAAAGCAGAGGATTGCCATAGCAAGGGCATTGATCAGAGAACCTAAAATTCTCCTCCTGGATGAGGCAACAAGTGCATTAGACTCTGAATCAGAACAAGTTGTCCAACAAGCACTAGACAAAGCTGCTGTTGGCCGGACGACCATGATCATTGCCCACCGTCTTTCCACTATCAGACAAGCTGATGTAATAGCAGTGATGCAGAATGGCATGGTTATGGAAACTGGATCACATAATGAATTAATGGAAAACAAGAAGGGCCTCTATTTCTCACTAGTTCGTCTTCAACCGACAGAGAACGAGAAACCCCCACAAAAAGAAGCCTCATTTTCAGTGTCAAACATGGATGTTCGCAGCACTAGCAGTCGCCGGCTTTCATCAGTTAGCCAATGCAGTTCTACTGATAATTCAGTAGCTAGGGAAAGCATCGTCCAGGATCAAAAAGTACCATTACCATCCTTTAGAAGACTATTGACATTGAATTTACCGGAATGGAAACAAGCAGTCATTGGATGCTTGAGTGCAATCTTATTTGGTGCAGTGCAGCCAGTTTATGCTGTAACGATGGGGTCCATGATATCAGTTTATTTTTCAAAAGACCACAATGAGATCAGGCAGAAGATAAAGGTTTATTCACTGATTTTCCTCGGCTTGTCATTGTTTTCAATTGTGAGTAATGTGATTCAGCATTACAGTTTTGCATACATGGGAGAGTTCTTGACAAGGAGGATAAGAGAAAGGATGCTTTCAAAGATACTAACATTTGAAGTCGGATGGTTCGATCAAGTCCAGAATTCCAGTGGTGCCATTTGCTCTAGACTAGCCAAAGATGCCAGCATTGTAAGTATAATTTGAAATTATCAAATTCCCATAGCACAAGTGTAAATAAAGCTGAACCACTTGCAGGTTATATTAACTATGCTCCTTAAGAAGCTTATTTAGTTTAATACACTAGCCAAACTCGAGCACAGAATTGTGCTTATGAACAAGCCAAGCTCAAGCTTTATTATTGTAATATAAACGTGCTTAGTTTTGAGTTCTACCCCAGAAATTCAACTAAGTTTCTGGTTTATTTTTGCAGGTAAGATCCTTAGTGGGTGACAGAATGTCTCTCCTTGTCCAAACCTTCTCAGCCGTAACCATAGCCTGTGCCATGGGCCTATTCATTGCCTGGAGACTGGCTCTGGTCATGATAGCTATCCAACCTCTTGTTATCCTTACCTACTACACCAGAAATGTTCTGCTCAAAAGCATGTCCAAGAAGGCCACCAAAGCCCAGGAACAAAGCAGCAAGCTCGCCGCAGAGGCCATCTCCAACATCCGGATCATTTCTTCATTCTCGAGCCAAGAACGGATTCTTAAATGGCTAAAAAAGACCCAAGAAGGCCCTACACAAGAGAACATCCGGCAGTCCTGGTCTGCCGGAATTGGGCTGGGAATCTCTCAGTGTTTAGCACCATTAATTCTGGGCTTTGATTTCTGGTACGGTGGGATACTAATCTCCCAAGGCTACATTTCTTCAAAAGCCCTTTTTGAGACATTCTTGATCTTGGTAACCACCGGCCGGGTAATAGCCGATGCTGGTAGCATGACCTCCGACCTCGCCAAGGGGTCAGACGCCATTGGCTCCTTGTTTGCTATCCTGGACCGGAAAACAAGAATAGACCCAGAAGATCCCGCTGGTTTTTTCCCGGAAAAAGTTACAGGACATATAGAGATCTGTGATGTAGATTTTGCATATCCATCAAGACCGAACATGATCATCCTGAAAGACTTCTCAATCACCATTGAAGCTGGAAACTCAACGGCATTGGTAGGACCGAGTGGGTCTGGAAAATCAACAATAGTCAGTCTGATCGAGAGATTCTACGACCCCTTGAAGGGTATGGTGAAAATCGATGGAAGAGACATAAGGATATATAATCTCCGGTCATTGAGGAAGCGGATAGCCCTCGTCAGCCAAGAACCGGCGCTTTTTGCCGGCAGTATCAGGGAAAACATTGCGTATGGAGCGTCCAATGAAGTAAGTGAATCGGAGATAGTGGAAGCAGCCAAGGCTGCCAACGCACACGATTTCATCTCCGGCCTATCAGATGGCTATAATACAGCGTGTGGAGACAGGGGAATGCAGCTATCAGGCGGGCAGAAACAGAGGATCGCCATAGCCCGGGCCATACTGAAAAACCCGGCGGTGCTGCTGCTGGATGAGGCGACCAGCGCGCTTGATGGGCAA